TTCGTTAAGTTTTTAACTTGCCTCAACGATTGATGATTACAGCCTGAATGTGCGTAATTGCATTCTGGTGCTACTTAGATCCGCATATACCCAAGTTGGATCCTCTGTTAATTGTCACTCTCTTCACTATATCTGGAGTTGTTAGTGATTATAGATATCAGACTTTCTTAAGAAAAAAATAATAATAATAAAAGACATCGGACTGCAGCGGGAGAATGTGGTTGCCGTGATCTGTTGGCCTCTCGCACTTGCCATACGAAACTCCATTTCTTTTTGAGCATCAGAGTGATTGTCATAGCCATTTGCGACATGTTACTTGGATGGTGTTTAATTCACTTAATTTCAGAGGTTTTTGAGCATCTAATCCAAGCCTGATTTCTTATGTTCTGAATGTTTACCATAATTCTCCTTAAAATTAACAGTAATTCTTTCTTTTGTAGAAGTTAAAAGAGTTGGGACAGCTTGTAGCTTCTGGAAGCTGCTTCAACTGAAGATATAGTACAACAATAAAATCACAATGTTCAGGCTGTCACCTCGGAGGAATCAGAGAAATAAAGGTTTTAAGGTGAAGCATGCCCTGCAGATATGTGTGCTAGTTGGTGTTTGCATCTGGCTGCTTTATCAGGTCCAGCACTCCCGTAGCAAAAAGGCATCATATGGAGAAAGCTCAAACATTTTGGAGAAGGTACAAAAATTTGGGAGAAAAGACATCCAACCAAAAAATATTGAAATGATAACAGAGGATGAGAATCAAAAGGAGGAACGAGAAGAAGCCAGTAAACTACTTGAAGATGAACTCAAGCCCGGGGAAAATGATCATGATCGAGACAAACTGGGAGAGGAAGGAGAAAAGGAGACAGAAAGTACAGAGCAAGAAGTGAAAGATGAAGAGAATGGAGAGAACAAAGATGCAGAGGGTGAAGGGGGAAATGAGATGCAAAATCAAGAGAAAGAGAATGATGGAAATAAAAATAACGGTGAGGAGGAGGAAACTAGAGAAGACGACCGGGGAAAGCATGATGAAGAGCAAAGTGGTGAGGAGACTGGAGAAAATAAAGAAAATGGTGGCGCAGAGAAGGAGAATGAAACGAAGGAGGAGAACAATGAGAATGCTAATGAAGACACACAAGAAAATGGAGCTGAGCAGAAAGGTAATGAGGAAAAGGATGCAAAAGAAGAGAATGGGGAAAATGAAGAGACCAGGGAAAATAAGAATGACCTGGATGGAGGTGAAGAGCAGGAAGTGAAGGAGCAGGTTAACGATGAGAGCAAGGCAACAGAAAAGGAAGAGAAGAAACAAATAGGCAATGAAGATCAAGGTAGAGAGAAACAGGAAGACCATGAAGTGAAGGAACAAAAAGAAGGTAAATCTGAGGAATCACCAGATGAGAAAGTTCATCAAGCAAATGAGCAGACAAACGAAGCTGCTGCACGGGAAAACACCAATGGTTGGAATGCCCAGAGTGAAGACGTTCAGGATTCTCAAAGTATGAAAGACACTGAGAAAGTAAATAAGGAAAACGTAAATGGGGAAGAACAGTCGACTGAGAAGGTCCAGGACAAGTCTGAAGGCAACAGTGAAAATGTGACAGGGGCAAATAAGGTACACGATAATGAATCAGGTTCAAGTGCAAAAGAAGGTGAGTCAAATGAACAGAACAGTCCATCAACTGTTGCGACTGATGAAGGCAATGACAGTGAAAACACACAGCAGGGATCAGCTCACGATTCCAATTCTGCAGAAGGAAGGAGGGAAGCTAATCAAGAACAAGGCAACGGCAATGAGACAACACAGCAGGAATCAGGGGAATCTTCCAATCCTACAGAAGGAACACATGAAGCTAATGAAAAGCAAGGCAATGCCAATGAATCCACGCAGCAAGGATCATGGGATAACTCCAATCCCACAGAAGGAACAAAGGAAGCTAATCAACAGCAGAGCATTAGCGACAATTCTAAGGCTGATGCTGATCAAAACCAGAGAAATGCTGTTGGTGATGTCCTTCCTGGGGGAGATGGTGCGCAGTCTACTCAAGAGGAGCAAACCGAGAACAAGGATGCTGCAACAAACAATGACAAATCCGATACAAGTTCAAATATGAAGGAGGGCTCAGCATATGGAGAAGGTTCAAATGATGTGGGTAATAGACAAAATGCTGGTAGCGATACTGTTGGGGGTAAAGAGAAAAGTTCAGAAAATTCATCAGCCAATCAGGTTAATGAAAAGGTCGAGATCCAGAAGTCTGATGCTCATTCTGAAACAGGACCGGAAGAAAAGATTAACCCTTCAAATGACAATGACAATACTGATTCCAGTGAAAATAGATCAGTAGATTCTTCTGGTTCCTCGAGTGCTACTAAAGAGGAGGCATCTTCAAACTCAAATGAGAATGCTGAAGCTGAGCAGAATAGCATGGTTGACTCATCAAGTTCTACAATTCCCCAAGAAGAGAAAGAGGCTCGCACTGACCTTGAAACTTTGCCTGAGATGGGAAATGAGGGAACTAGTCAAGAAGATGCAGTCGCTTAGTGATGCTACATATTAGCCTTTTGTGAACTTTGAAGCTTTTGTTGCATTCTTTGCTTCCTTTCATGGTTATTGCCAGAACAATTGTGGAAGTATGTACACTTCGTTTGATGACGTTGATGCTGGTCATTTGTTGTGGACCAGAACCAGGAAATGCAAGTAATGAAATGAACTAAAATGCAATGAATCAATAGACTGCAAAAGTCTGAGCAACTCAAACGAACAACTCCATATTCATTGATAAGCTTCAGTAAAGGATTACAGAAGCAGAATGGCGGGAAAGAACATAAGGGGAAAGAGATTGAAGGAAACCGTGGGGAGGGGGAAAACGCAGAGAGGATATTCCTTCTCTGATTACAATATCAAATTTGCAAAAGGTTCCCTAACAATTACATGATCCTCACGGTTTATACAACTGCCATTCTAACTGATTTTCAAGTGAACAAATGAGCTTCCAACACGTGTCCAACAGAATCTTCTAGCTGAACTGGTCCCCAACTGGCTGAATCAACGTGAACCCAGTAAAGGCGTGCTCTTCTACTCACGCCTTCTTGTCTCTCAGCTACTTCACGCCTTCCCAATGTTTCCTTCCTACTCCTGCATCCGCTGCCGCTGACATCATTACATCATTCGGCCAAAAAATTTGTAGCCAACGTCATTGTTATTAACAGCCTTGATCGTGTAATACTACGGAACTGCGTTGCTCATGTTATTAGTACTAATGCATTGTCCTCATTAGCCTACCCAAGCTTTCGTTGTAGGTTCTTTGCTTGCTAATTTGTACTTCGCACTCGTCGACAAAAATTGATCCAAGCTTACATTTGCTCATCTCCTGGCCGTGCTCTACAAGAATCGCTTATGGGTTTTGTGCAGTCGCGTACATTTCCAGGTTACTATCCTGACTATTCAAGTTCTTCCTTTTCTTTTCATCTTGGACCGCTAACTGCTTCGATTTGAAGCGTCCATACATTTAGACTATATTTCTTTCGGAAACCTTTTTTTTTTTTTCGCAACGATAACATTTATATAATCTACTCTAATCTAATCTAAAAAGAAGGAGAGTCTAATCGACGAAAAAACCCATCAAGGGACACCACTTGAAAGTGACAACCATAGTTAAGTGACAAGCATATTTGTTCGGGAACTTAGGGAGGAGAAAGCAGGCAAACACAGCTTTTTTTTTTCTTTTTCCGTTGGGCAAATAGCTTAATAAGTTGTACGTTTTCAACACTAACAGTCCCTACCATTGCTCAAGTTCTGAAAGCCACTTTAATCAACCACGGCTAAACAAGGCATCTAGACTCGTTTGAGTAAGAACATATAATCCGTCCCTCTCCCTTCCCCCTCTCCCAACGAAACCCCGCTTTCTTTTGCCAGTCTTGTGGCGGCAGGGGGGCACAAAATTCTGCGCCCAGTTATATGCAAGGCCAGCAACTCCCCCCTACCCACCCACCCACCCAACCAAAAGAGGAAAAAAAGAAAGGGCATGTGCCAGATGAATTGCATCCAAAACCAAAACCCAACATGTATCCCAGTGAAGCATGATGGCAACAATATCGTCAAATTTATTTGAATAGAGCAGATTGCAAGAAACAAAATAAAAAAAAATGAAACACGAAATTTGAAAGCATGCCAAAAGAAAACATCTGCTCGTTTCAAAACGTAACTAAAATAACACAGCCCGTTATAATGTCCAAGATAATTTTGACAATACAGCCTCCAATGATGCCAAAGCAAAGATGAACAACCATTATTCGACTCCTTCAGATTACGATCATCAGACATCAGTGGTGCTTCTCCTCAAAAAGACCATCTGGACCTACAATCATGCATAACGTGTCAAATTTAGTTAAAGTGTATCTCAGCAATTAGTAGTTAAAATGTGTTCACCCATCTTTCTACTAAACAACTAGCTTAAGAAATCTAATCTGATCTATGCTGTACATGACAGTGTATAAAATAACTTCCTAGGCTTGCTAAATCCTCTGTTGTGCTTCTCCCCATTTCAATAAATGGAGGAAAGTTTCAGTGGTTAAACTTAAAGAATAAAACAGGGATAGTTACAATAACAGGGTTGAGAAAAAGCACAAGCATAAACTGGATAATACGGCCCAAATAACTAAGCTACAATATATGCATTACATAAATCTCCCCAAGCATCTAAAACCTCACTAGACCAAGCATATGTTCTCCTGATCATGCTTGACCAAAAAGCACTAAGACAGCTACAGAAGATGGAAGTTGAACCTCAAAAAATAAAACTGAGAACTGCTATAGCGGTCCCCAGCTCTCTACAATATCTTTTGTGAAACCTTGTTATTTACGTGAAGCAATTAAGCCTTAAATTCATCCTACAACACAATAACACTCATGCATTTTAGAGAAAAAAAAAATTGCAAAGGCTATTCCAGTACTGCAGCACAGTAAACTGTAAGCATGTATAAAAATAACTGAGGAAGCACATGTAGTGATATATGAGAAGCATTACTAGGATTTAATATTGCACCAATCCGATTTCGAATAGAAAATACAATTAAACTTCTAATCTGATCCACCTGGAAAAGCTTGTGCCAATAATAAATATACATTTCAGTTGAAGATTGAGTCCTCATTGTGTTATAGGGATGAAATGATGTGCTTACAACTTTTAAGGAACAGCATTACTCAATATTCAGGGAAATATTTTCTTGAAAACTTCAGAAATCATTACAACAACTCCCCAAACCAAATCACTATTTGTATCAATGAACAAATAAAACACCAAATCACTATTTGTATCAATGAACAAATAAAACAGCGTACACCTGATATTCAATACAAATCAAGCAAAGATTCATGGAAATGCAACATTATCAATGAGAGAGGTAAAATAACTCAGTTTTGAAATGTACCCCATGGAAACTCCTTGTTGCGAATGTGCAAGTATGGATAAGGCTGCAACAGTAAATTCTTACATTAGTAAACATAAAAAATTTCAGATTCCCTTAATATTATATAACACATAATTCCATCACAGCTGGATAAATTTCCTAATGATCATAGAACATATAACCAGTGCAGTTTACAACATAACACAGTATGACTCATATTAACCAAAATAACACCTACGTTAACAAATGGAACAACGGCATTGATCTAAAAGTAGACAGATGAACAATTCAATGAAGGGGGTATAGAAAAAGCTTACAGGAGGCTCTTCATGGTGGTGATGACCCTTGGAGAGGTTATAGACTGAGAGAGTAGAGCAGGTGGCTATCCCAAGGTATGTAATCTTCTCCCACTTCGAAGCCTCAGCTACATAAACCCAAAATCACAAAAATAATTAGATAAAAATGAGATTTTTAATCACACAACAGCAAAGCAAATTCCAAAACAAACTAATTAAAAATTTACATAGCACAAATTCCTGCTTGAATCTGGAGGAAAATATCCATAGAGTAGTATTTACTCAATCAAATAAACACCAAACCTAGAAAACCCTAAAATACAAAAGCAATTTATATTACTAAGAAATACAAAAGCAATTTATATTACTAAGAAATACAAAGAAGAACTGTTTAACCGAATATGAGATTTTTCTTAACAAACTAGCATGTCTTGCGTGCGGTATGATACTATAAAGATGGAGAATTCAATTTACTAAAAGCGACGGGAAATGAAGATACCGGCTTCATCATGATGGGCAGAGGCGGAAAAAGTTCTCTTAGATGCCGGAGCTGGAGCTGTACGAGAGGCGCCGCCGCGGATGGCGGAGCGGAGGCCAGATCTAACAATTGCAGATGCCATTTCAGAGCCGTCGTCTTCTCTTCGTTACTCTCAACTACTTTGCCGAGTCGATTCGCTACGCTCGCGGATAGGTAATTGTTTTTTAGACTTCAGTTACGGAGCTGCCGTTAATTGTTTAACAGTTTTACCAATTCTCTCACCCCTTCAAACCCCTTTTCTCTTGTGAGAATTTTTTTACCTGTTTTTGGAATAAAAGAAAACCTGAAAAAGAAAGAGTAAAAGTTCTTTTCACCGTCTAGACCTCAGGACAAAAAAAAATTTTGAAAAATAAATTTAAGACATTTTTAATTGAAAAGCCATAACTATTAGAATAATGATGAATGATTCAGTTGTTTTGGGAATGAAAAACACAAGGGCCAATTAGTACCCAAAATAGTTAGTGAAACAAAAACTGGACAATCATTTGGTACATTAACTCTTTTGTTAACACTAAGTTATCGATTGGAGTTATCAATAGCGTAGATAGAATCTCATTATTAATTCTTTTTGTGATAATAATAATAATAATAAAAGTTATTAGTGATTGACACCATACGTTACAAATAATAAGGGTGCTTTTTCATTTTTTCCTTGCTACACCTAAAGTATTCCGCTCCCAAGCATTAAAAGAGGTTCGAACCCTAGATCTTGGAGTACCGGAAGTAGCCCAAAACCAGATGCTCTAACCCAGAGGGCCTTACAGTATTATTCAATCAATCTCTTCCCCAAACTTTAAGCATACTTTTGTTTGGTAAGTAAACAGCCTAACTTTTTTTCAAAAAAAAAAAAAAAAAAATCTTGATTCCATCCATTTAGTTTTGAAATGATCGAATTGTGTGTGTTCGACTGGTCCAAATTTTTTTTTTTTTTTCAAACCATTTTTCTTGCTTTTAAGTCCTATTGTAAAGCCTGTTCACACTACTCACTTTTGCCGTTTCCACTTGGACTGTAAACTTAAAAGAGAAAAAACTTTGTTTTTTTGAGGGACTTATAAGAGAAAAACTAATAATTACTTGAAGTGGCTGCACAAAGTGGATCAAAAGTTAACCTTGTTCGACTGGGTCTACGAATTCCACATACAATACTAGGAATTTTAGCGTCAAAGCTAATAGGCTTATTGAAAAGAAGACCTGATTCTGCTTTTTGCCTCGAATGCTCGTGCTGTGAATTTTTGACGAAATGTCACATTCCTAGATAGCGGTATTCTGAGCCATGTCATGCATATATATATATATATATATATATATATGGACATGATTTTCTTTTTCCTTATTTAGCACGTATGGTATTGGTAGGTAGGGGATCCGACTCCCCTTCTTTCCACTTTTCCTTTGCATGCAAATAATATCAAATTAAACTATATACAGATTTTGGCAAAGGAAAAGCTGTTCATTAATTATATATAAAAACCAATTGAGAGGAAAAAGAAAGAGAATACATCACATCATCAACGAATTGAACAATTGAATTAAAATGAATACTTCTTCTATGCCGAAGATGCCTCTTCGCAGTGATCGTTTATTCTTCTACTTCAAATTGAATTTGCATGTAATGGATATCAAAGAATATAAAGAACCGAGAGATTTGCAAGCTGCCCGGCACCGACTCAGTTGTGCGTGCTAGTGACAACCTTGTTTCCGGTCCCAGGACTCGGACCAGAATCCTTAATTCCTCCGAGGGGCTGAACGTTGGTGTATTTATGCCCAACTCCGGGACTTGGACCGTCCTTCACGGCGCCAAGGGCGTCCATGTATCCCCCGGCTGGGCTCTGAATTTTCGAGGCAGGGGTGCTCAGAGGACGGCCTTCGGCAACAAAGAGAACCGAGACAATCAATGCAAGGAAAATGTATCCTGCTTTGGCCATCTCTGAAACCAAAGGAAAAGAGATTTTGGTATGATACAAGCTCTAAAGTTGCAAACTAGGAAGTTCGGTTAGCTTTTGTTGGATGAAAAAATGATCGAGGGGCGCCCCAATTTATACTAGTGACGCTGAGGCATGGAATGCAAGAGCCAAGTTGTTTGGTTTTCTTGAATGAGGAGGAGGCTATGGCATCCATTCAAACTTCAAACCAACGTGAGAATTAGAATTTTGCTAGATGAAGGAATTCATGCGTATGAACTGGCGAGGCTGGTTCTTGGCCTGGGAAAATTAAGGTCAAGAGATGAGAAATTAAGAGATTGCGAGTCCAAGTTGTGTAGCATTATTATTCATGGGTTTTACCAGATGCCTGCGTTATGGAAAATCCTTAACCTCGTGACCGTGCAGCCTCTCTGAAGGCTGAATATTTGAATTCAGCACTTGGACTCTTATCGTCGCCACACCAATTGGAATTTTGTTTGTTATAATTGACATCGTAAATTCATATTTACAAACTGCTAAAAGTTTTTTCACTATCTAAAATTGTGTTTACTGAGATTTCTTCGGCTGGTCAACTACGTACAAGTGTAGCTATTCAACTTGCCCACATCAACATCAAGCTCCTCATACCTACACCGGACGGCATCCACGACTTGTTAATTATATTCCTTAGGATCTAGCTGCTATTGCCTATTAGTCAATAGTTCGGTAACTTCGTTAGGGAACATCGTTCACAAGTCAAAGAAACATTTTAATGTATCTCGAAATTTAGAGTTCTTCTGACACTCTATGGACTTATTCACAAGAATCTATTAGAGTTCTTCTGCTCTTAACTTTTCTTTTCGGATCTCTCAACTTTTGGGAGGCATTATGAGTGTTAACCGCTAATTAAACCATCCCATGCATGATTGGCAAACTCATCCTTGACGCCCAAGTTCTGCCAAACTCATGCATGACTTGTATTTTTTAGTCGAGCGATTCAGCCAAGGGGAGGGCTAAATGTACATTTTAAATTGCAATAAGGATGACTCGTCTTATTAGCATCGAAACTTGCGCAATGCGTAAACATAGAATGAAAAAACATAATAGCTTTAACATCTTCTTTTTAACTTGATTATGAGACCTGAAGAAAGAAGGTAAATTAAAGAGCTAGAATGTGTGTAGTTTCGATATAATTATAAACTTTATCTACTACTTTCTCTCACTCTCTATGGGTTGGGTACTGCTGGCTGGGACGTGCCCATTTCAAGTACAAACGTCCAACAACCAACTATTCTTAAAGTAGCTGACTGCTGCGTTCTAAAGACTCTATTCGATATAGGTCAAAAGATTGAATTTCTTGACCAGCATTCTAAAAATTCAGAACTTGCTAGAATGTTTCGCTGGTGGGTGCGTAGGCATTCATCAGGACTAATAATGATTTAATCCCCTTGAATTCTCTCCCGTTGGGTCATTCCCCTTCTCATAGTATGAAATAGAAATAGGCTCCTTGTTACAGTATAAAATATGAATAGGTCTATTGTATCTAGGAAAAAAAAAAAAAAAGGGGTATGAACGTCCAGCAGAGGGACTCATGCAAGTAATTTCATCAGTCCAACATATATATTTCTCTCGTGGATGTAGCCATCGGATCGTAATCTCAGTCATGTATCGTTCCAGAAAATCTCAACAAAGCAATAGCGACTCTTCAGATTTTGAATTTAGAAATGTACTCAGTCCGTCGTCCGCCTTGGGAATTATCAAGCTCATCTGGACTTTTCTTGTTTAGCATGTACGGTGAATCTAGCCAAAAATGTGACCTTTCTTGTCCTAACTCCTAACATTTCAGGTTTCTTCATCCTCAGACACGCGGTGGCTTCCAATGCGAATAGCGACCCTACCATACTAAGATTCTATTCATTTTCTATGGGAATTGAAATTTCACCTCCCGCAAAAAAATTCAAGAGTGATATCAAAATATTCTTTTGATCTAATAAAGTCTATATACCTGTTAATCCCTTAACACAAATCTCTTTAGGTTTCTACTCTCCTCTAAATTAAGATAGAATAGATTATACAATTATTGTTGTCGAAAAAAAAAAGAGATAAAATACTAGAATTCGAATTCTAAGAACATAAAAAAAAATTGTTTTTGGGGGAAAGAACATAAAGATTAACCATAAATTTTGCTTACATCTTTTAACTAAAATTATGTCCTTGTACATTTCTTTATGAATATCAAAAGAAATAATATTGATAATAATGAAAATTCAAAGGATGTTCCTACATTGCCTCGGAGTGTCTGTCATACGTTAAGAAACTTGAGAAATCTCGGAAAATATACAAATTCATAAACCAAAAAAAAAAATGAAAAAATATCGAAAGATAAGAAATGATTAGATGTCCAACTTTTGCGAGCAAGTGCTAGCATAAAAATTGTGTATATATGGTGGAAATTTGTGGATTCCTCCCGACATCAGCTTCGTCACATTCAGCCTAATTATCCAGATTCTTCCTCCATCGCTTGATGGCATCGCCAGGAATTGAGTTGATGATAACTGAAATCAATAATATATACAAAAATTTTAGCCGCTAAACACTCTCTGCATGTACAACGAATTCACATGCATGCATTGAAGTGTTATTATTATCTAATCTCATAATTGAAAATTTTATTTACAATGACTACAAGAATCCCACTTTCCAAGAACAATTCTCATTGAGTTAAAAAAAAAAAAAGAAAAAAAATTAAGGGAAAACAATAGAAAAGCCGATCGATCGATTGGGAGGTCAATGAATCCAGACACCCCCATGGAACTGTGGCAGGCAATCACGCCTTGATAGAGTGCATGTTCATTTGACTCTCCTTAGTAGTAGTAGCATTAGAATTATTTTTCTGATCGTGTCGAAACTCGAACCAACAATCTCCATCAGGTGGTGGAGGATCAGGATCGCCCAAATAATCCTCCGGAAAACCAAGCGACTCCATCACATCTTCCCCGCTCCACCCCCCACGCAACAACCTCTTAGACAATACCTTCACGTGCCAGACGATCCCTTCCTTATCAATCAACGCAGCGTTCTTATCAAAGCCATTTCGTCCGGTGCAGTGATCATCATCGGTCTCATCACAGCCGTCCATCATCATCATCTCCCTTACATCCTCTTCTTTCCACCCTCCGTTCCTCAATCTCCAAAACACCTCCTCCAAGCACCCCCCTAACTCCCCACTCCACCACCTGCGCGTGCCACCACGCGCCGCCAGCCTTTCCCCCCTCTCCACCAACTCCGACCATACCTCGATCCTCCTCGGCTCAGTCGCGGCCCAGGCCGGCGTGCTGAATAATTTGGACAAGGTGGGCCTTCTCAAGATGTCCTCGTTCGTCGTGAATTCCGCCTGCTGGAAGAATCCGGCTATATCGAAACTCCACAGCTGAACATTCCCTCCATGCACGTAAAACACGGGATTCCCCGCCATACACGGCGTCGAAGGAACGTAGAAATGCCGGTACACCGGAACAAGAAACGGCGCATTTCTCATGAATCCTTTACCTAAATTCACAGCTTGATCATCATCTCCTGGCCTTTCACCCCAAGAATCGAGCCACAAATGGTTTCTTGATATTTCCTTGCATACACCTGAGACGGGTAGACTGGTGAGGGCCTGAAGTTGTTGAACGGAGGAGGATGATCGCCAGTTGGGGAAGCCGGGGCCCACAGGGAGGCCTTCTTGGAGAATAGAACGTAAATCGGGGGGAAATGTGAAATTGAAGGTGGATTCAATGGAGGATAATTCGGCGTCGGTGAGGCCTTCTTCAATGGGAATATCGGAGGATTTTAGGTAATGAATGAGGTTCTTGGTGTAGGCTGCAAATGAAAAACAAACCCGCATGGGTTTTGGATCGGTGACCGCCATGGTTAATGGGCTCAGCGGTGGTTCGACGAGTAGTGCTGCTGCCATTGAATACGAGTACTTGGGCTAATATTGATTGACAACAACAACAACAACAGTTGCAGATAACACGTGTTATGGAGTAGATAATGCATATGGAAGCAAGCCAGTAATGGTAATTCAGATTTGAGTTTCGTGTTTATCCACACTGGCAGGCCGGGATAGAGTAGTTAGAGCATATAAGGGAGGAAAAAGTGAGTGAGTTTTTACGGGAACTTTTGATGCTCTATTCTCACAACTCCTCTCATCTGATGTCGGGACTCTTGAGACTATTTCAAAGTAACAATGAACTGAAGCGATTTGTTTTGGAATTTTGAGGGCACAAAAATGCAAAATGGGGTCTCTGACTAATCATGGAATTGATACGTGAAGTCTTTGCTAACTTGGCATGGTTGTAATGCACAGTCCAAATGTCACTTCTTCCTGATGATCCAATATTTTGTAGGAGATTTGGAGTCTGGCTGAAGTGCTGAACCATGCGTTGTCAATCAAGTTGGGGTTCTCAATTGTTCTTTCACATATTTCCTTGCTTATGGTCAGAGATGCGGCTTTACTAATCAGTACGAGGGCGGCCGGCAGCCTAATTCAGATTTATAAGAAGAAATTTTGTGCTAGTAGTTTATATCGGGAAATCAAAAGGTTCAGAAAATTCTAGCCGTCCAACCAATAGTAGGCTTAGTCGCTACAGAGAAATATCAGGAATTGTTAATTGGTATCAGGTAAGCAACTAATTTATAGAAAATGTAGTTGGCTTATGAGAAATTTTCAGTTGCATAAAAAAATCAACCTTAACAACAAGACATTTGTTATTTGTTTCACCAGCTGTTATAATACAAATGTTCAAATTTTAGGCACCGACCGCCCTTCTCGATCACCTTCCCCTTCGTCCGCCCTCTCCTTGCTGTGAGGGATCAAGACCATATTAGTGGTGGCATACTGCTTTATAACGTAATCTTTTATATTTGGAGGAAATAGAGATAAAAAAAAATGTTATCAAGGAGAATTGATGCAAGTGCTTCTATATATTTATGCAGTCGTCGATTAACTTAGAAGTAGCACCTATTCTTGCGCATTTCGTCATTTAGCTTCACTTTGAATAAGAAAAATGAAAAGGCAGTCGATATTAATTTGTTACAATTCAAATCTGAATGCCATGAGCATTCCTACACCATCCATCTCCTCAATTTTTTACTACTATATTTAACTTGACTTTAGAAACATTTTATGGTAAATTACTGTGACGTTAGAACTTGAACTTTGAGAATAGCACCAGCCAAATAAAAGTCGTCCGAGACATCTCAGCTTCTATCACATTTATAATTTCCTTCCATCCAAATGAAGAGAATTTTCTTGTCATCTGCTCCTTGTTGGAATTACTATGGAAGCAACTCAGAATTGGAGAAAAGGAATTCGCCTAAAAGGTTCCTAACCACCATAATCTTGTCGATAGCTTGTCTATTGCTTTGACCGTTTCTCCTCCTTCTTCTTCTTCTTCGTATCCCCTTTTGCGCGACACGTTATTTCTGAAATTGGGAGTCTGTTTCTTTCTTTCTAGATAAATTGAGGACCGTGTTGATAATTACGTTTTGGCAATCCTGATACTTAACCTATACATAGAACCATTTATGTGCTCTTACTTTTCTAACATTCTATACAGATCTCTTAAAGAGCCTGGAACACGGCTTTTTGACGAATGACTCGATGCTTGGGATTTTTTTTAGGACACGGTGGAATCTATTTTAGACATGCTCCTACTTTATACTAGAGGGAAGGAAGGACCCGAAGAGATCCGCTAGGACACGATGGAATCTATTTTAGATATACTCCTACTTCATACTAGAGGGAAGGAAGGACCTAAAGATATCCAAGAAGAACTTGGAGGGGACTAATTACCGGCTCAAATGGGTATCTTCTCCGTTTGACATGCGGCTGTGTTTACACGGATGCTTACCTTCACAAGATCGAGTTGCTAATAAGGCACAAAACATACAGGTTAAATTTAAACTCAATTCTATCAGTAGTTCTTCAAATGGATGCAAAATTTTCGCACAAGTATGTCCAACATTGTCAAATTTCAAGGACCTTTCACTGGTCAAGCATTATCTTCTGCCCCCGAGCTCTTGTCATTCTCCGGTTCTTGTTTTTTCATCATCAACTAATTCAGCTTCCACAGTTTGAACAACCGATCCATCCTCTTTGTTCCCAAAGTTCCAGCCAACGACAGCTTTGCTTTCCTGTTCTAGAATATTCATGTTGTTATGGGATATTTGAGCTGTAAAATCCAGCAAATCTTTTCCACATTCTTCAGGGGAGGTAGTTGATGTCCAGAGCAAATTTGCATTACAGGTCATCTCCACAAAGTTTCCAGAAGAATTACTTTCTCCAGTCCTATAAACATTCTGAGATGAATTTGTAAAAGAAGTGGAGCCCCCAGTGTCATAATTCTTCAACTCAGGCTTGATGGAAGCCTTGCTAATTAGGACTGCAGAATGATGATCGGAAATGGTGTCGCATAATCCGCTGCTACATGGAATCTCAAGACTGCCACTAGAATTGATGAAAGGAATTTTAACCTTTCCATCGTTTGTATACTGCACAGAAGGCTCATTTTCCACTTTTTTTAAAATCACTTTCTCATAGTGTAGTTTTTCAGTCTGACAAAGAGTTTCAAGTAGTCCAGACTTCCTATTCCAAATTCGAGGGCATGAAGTATCTGTTGATGGCAACCTTCCATCTGGGGTTACCAGTTTCTCCAGCCTTCCTCTCTTTGAAGTCTTTGCACCTGAAGAAACCCCAGTTGCAGTAGTTGTTCCCTCTTTTACAACAGGTTTTAGGCACAATACGTCTTCCTCAAGCTTTGTTAACCGGCCCTTACAATCTGCCAGTTCAGATTGCAACTCACCAACAATCTTCCGTAGGTGAACATTCTCCAAAGGCTGTTGCCCCAAACACCAAAGAGCAAAAGGAAAAAACAAACAATGGCATCAAGGTAACTTACACCACAGAGTAAAGAATGGGCCACAAAGAAATGTATATCCTAGTATCTTACTTGAGCTTCCCATGGTTGCTGGTGTATCAGAGAGAGTTTTGCGGTTGGTCTCATCGTACTTCCCTGGTTTGATGTGGTGGAAGCCGATGAAGAACCGGGTATTGGTGGCTGAATTGGAGAGAAATAAGGACAGTGTCCAGGGAAGGCACTGCTATGAGGAGGTAGTAGATGTTGTGGAAGGCTCAACCAAGATGAAGGATCCCAAGGGCCTATTAAATATTAACAAGTAATATCTTCTGCATTAGTGGCACATATAGCACTACATCAGAATTAATCAGCTATGAATGATCAAATTTAACTATGTTTATTCTTGAACTACTGTTAGAATGTATATGGCATATTTGCAAATATGGCCGTTGAAAACAGCAAACAATTAGTCAAAACACTCCTCAGTACTTCTTTGACACCTCAACAGACTTGATCCCAATACCACGACCTTCCAAGCCACATTCTCTGGGTAAATCAAATTTGTTCTGGAGAACTTGTCAGAAACTTCCCACAATGTCAAGCGTGAAACAGATTGATTGTGACATTATACCTGGAAAGCCTGGATATGGGTAGCCAACATGGTAACAATAGCTAGGACTCTGCTGCTGGCTTCTTAGAGTTGCTCCATAACCAGGTCCGCCCCCGGTAATGCCAGGCGTTCCTGCAGGAGGAGGGACAGGCTGATAGAGAGCTGGCAGACTGGCACCCGGCAAATGTTGACCAGGGAGCAGGGGAATCCAGGATGGCATGTTGAGTTGTGTAAACGGGGGCATTGGTTGTTCCTGTTGGAACTGCTGCATAGTGCAAGTTTGTTGCTGATTCTGCGGTTGATGACACTGGCCTGGGATGAGTGGTGGAGGCAACTGGTTGAGACTGCAGGATTTTAGGATCAAAGGGGACTTTTCACAAGCAGGTTGAGATGAACAAGGAAATTGGACCCCATCTTCAGTATGCTCCTTCGGGGAAGTTGCATTTTCAAAGTGAAGAGCCGCCGACCGCTGTACTATTATTTTGATTTTGATGTTCAATTAGCTGTTCAAGAATGGATTCATTTATCGGCGTAAATAACACGAGGAAATTAAGCAATCAAGAGTACTAATAAGTAGTTATATTCCTGTAGCATTAAGGATCTCAATAAAATTAATTTCAATGCCATAATGCAGGAGGACAGGCACAAATCAAGTACTTTGACAGTGTCGAAAAATGATCTGCAAGAACTGCTGCTTGCTTGAATATTCTTTTAGAGGTAACCTTGAAGCACCAAAAGTAAGGGGAATTGATCAACTGGGAAATTAGGGACCGGTACAATTATTTGCGGAGTATTCTGGGGGAAAAAAAATCAAATCGGTCCTTCTATCTCTCTCTCGTTATCTGGGTACAACTCCCAACACATGCAGCAAGAAACAAAACATCAAGACGAAAAAAGAAAAAAGTGAAGAACCAAAAAAAACTTACTAATGATTTTTAAGTATGTTGTGAAAATAACGGGGAGCCCAGGAGTACTTTTTAGCAGGGAAACTTGCATATGAAAAATCCACCAAATAATGGAGTGAGGAGATGCATTACCCGGTTCTCCATTGAACCACTAGCATCTGGAGAGGTAGAGTTTTCATGTTTTTTCTTTTTATTCTTCTAATTCATGGTTTTTTGCAAAGTGATTATTTCTTTCCCTACATTTTGAGAAAGGGGAGCAAAGGTATAAGTAAAGAGGGAGTAGAGCAGTGGCCTCCGCCGGTAAAAGCCTGCCGTACAAGTGTACAACAACAAGAGAAGTGGTGCGTTGGAATTTTAAGCCCCAAAGCCAGAAACAAGGAAAACGTGCGTGGTGCGGGAGCCGGGGAATTTCTACTTTTGGAGCACCATTTTCTAATTTCTACTCCATTGCCGCCCTGCCGCAAATTTGTCCTCTGTCTGGTCCATCACAGCCGTTTTTTTTTTTTTTTTTTTGGGTAATAAAAGATTGCATAAATAAAAATTTTAAGTCCGTACATCACATATTTGTTTGGGATGGAAGGACCCCTTAAATCACCACACAAAATAGTTCGTAGCTGAGGAGGACAGTTATGATAAGAGTGAAAAAGTCGACAAAAAGATTTCCATCCTCAAATCATCACAGCCGTTGCATTTTGCATCATTTTGACCTTTCTTCCTCAGCTCAACTGCACGAAGAACGAATGAGCATTGTATTTGACGATAGCCATCTTATTTTACCGGTTAAAGAGTCAAAGAACAAAAAATAATAATAATATAATAATAAAAGACAGAGCAAGGCAAACACTTGTCGAGTTTTAAAGGTGTTGAAGGCTTGTTTGGGGAGTTATTAGTGTCAAAAGCTCTTATTATTATTCAGTACTAATACACAAAGGATGGTCCTCGATCTTGGTTTTAAAATTTCTCATACAAATTCTATTAATCTTTTTTTCTTGTGCACCAATTTTAAAAGTATCTGTTGGTGTACATTATTACCTTACTCTTGGAAGCCCATGCGCATAAAAAAAAAAAAAAATTTTTTTTTTTTGGAGCTCAGGCGTTCAACAGTATCCTCGAAAGAATTGATTGTATAAGATCAGTATTTTTGGAGTAGTACTTACGTAGACGAGATATAACCAGCAGAGCAGAGAAGAAACCAAATAAATAAGATAAAGAAATGATATATATATATATATATATATGCAGATAACGTTTCAGTAATAGAAGGATTTGATTTATTAAACGATCACAAGAAAAATTAACGTTAGAGAGTGAAAATATCAAGGCAACTAACGAGGTTGATAATTCCATGTGCACTAGATTCATGATTCTCGCAAGACATATTGGAAAAGGACGAGAGGGCACTGATCGATCGATCGAGGATGTTAAATAGAAGCTAGCAATTCCGAAAGAGAAGGCCTATAATGATGAGAAGCGTCTGTCAAATGAGCAAGGACGACTTGCCACCATATCAAAATCAGAAAGGCTTTGAACGTACGCAGGCAGTAGGAGGCAAGTCATCCTTGTTGGCGATGAAACCAGAGTCTCCTCCCCATTTTAGGCCAATCAGAGTCTTTCTACCAAAATGTTGATCCAATTAAGCCAGAAGAAGTACGTCTATTTTCTGAACGCAATTGATCGAATTGCTCAATATTCAAGACTGTACCTGAGGAGGCGATTTTTGGTTGGTAACTAGACCGACCTGGATCAGTCCTCTCTGAGATGAAGTGAGGTGAACTCCTGTGTCCGAAGTGAACCTCCTTGTCCGAAGTGAGTGGCGGGGCTTCTCCCCTGGTATCACTCCGACGATCAAGTTAGTATGAGAACGAGAATAATGAGAATGAGTTAATGAACAGTGTATGCTTACTTGTTGGGAGTGTGAGTGAGGTATTTATAGAAGAGAGGTGGTCAAGACGGAAGGCTCATGCTAGCGGGACCCACTCTCTGGCATTACGGCTCTGTCTCCTGTCAGGAGGTCTGACTCTGACACTGTAGCCGCCTGGGAGTGATGACGGAGGATATGGTGCAGGTGCCATTAAGTGCCTCCAGTGCTTTTCAGATAAAGTGCTGGTCCTGGATGATGTCAGGTGGGTTGACATCATCAGCGTGCAGCCGAGGTGGATGTGCCGAGGTCACCTACACGATGGACTAGGGATGAAGCCGAGCTCTGGGGTTGTGCTCAAGACAGGGATGAGCTCCGATGAGGGACGAGACTTGTGTTCACCTCGGACACCCGCGTGTCCGAGGTGAGCATCCTCAATAAGCCCCCCAAGCCTCGGGAGCTTCGGGCCAGGGAGGTACCGAGACTTCCTTCTGCCGAAGTCGTGAAGAGTCAGTGTCCCGAGCCTGCTCCGGAAGGTGCGGGGACGTGACACGTGGGCATGTCAGTTGAAGGGACCTGGAGAGTGAGTCGGCACGTAACCGTCACGTCGTGAAGTAGTGGGACGTTTCGTGCAGAGAGTGTCAGTTACAACGAGGACTCCAAGGAGTTGTGTGACCGGATGGCTGAGGACCTCCAAGCTGGAAGGAACCTGGCCGAGGTCCTGGCCGAGTTCAACAAATGGCTGTCCGAACTCGACGAAGTGTTCGAGGAGGTTGAAGAGGAAGAAACTGGAAGAGAGGATGCCGAGGGAGACGAAGCCGGAGGGGGCGAAGCCGGAGGGGACGTCGGCAAAGAGCCTGGAGATGAAGTTCACCCCGGCGGAAAGGAGACCGAAGAGAAAGATGCCCAGGAGGGAGCCAAGACCGGGATTGGAGCCGATACGGGGATGTAGGCTCGTAGGCTCTAAAGGGGTGGCCGAGGTGAAGAGTGTTTAGTAGCACTCTGACCTCGGCCTTGTATTTTTTTTAACACTTCTGTTGAATGAAAGTCTATTTCTTCTCATCTCAGCTCTTTAATTTCTTGCTTTGCTTTGACTTCATCCCTTGCTTGTCCCCCTTATTTTTTGATAGCGTAATAACCCTATTGTTCTCAGGTCGTTAGCCGAGGTGGTAAAACGGGCAGATACCACCTTGATTTATAATGGGCCGAGGTGGCCTTTCGGGAGGTGCCACTGAGTAAGGCCGAGGTGGCCCTGCGGGAGGTGCCGCTGATTAAGGCCTAAGTGGCCCTGCGGGAGGTGCCACTGAGGAAGGCCTGCCACTGATTAAGGCCGAGGTGGCCCTTCGGGAGGTGCCTGAGTAAGGCCGAGGTGGTAAAACGGGCAGATACCACCTTGATTTATAATGGGCCGAGGTGGCCTTTCGGGAGGTGCCACTGAGTAAGGCCGAGGTGGCCCTGCGGGAGGTGCCGCTGATTAAGGCCTAAGTGGCCCTGCGGGAGGTGCCACTGAGGAAGGCCTGCCACTGATTAAGGCCGAGGTGGCCCTTCGGGAGGTGCCGCTGAATAAGGCCTAAGTGGCCCTGCGGGAGGTGCCACTGATTAAGGCCGAGGTGGCCCTTCGGGAGGTGCCACTGAGGAAGGCCTGCCACTGATTAAGGCCGAAGTGGCCCTTCGGGAGGTGCCGCTGAGTAAGGCCTAAGTGGCCCTGCGGGAGGTGCCGCTGAGGAAGGCCGAGGTCGGCCCCTGCGGCTCAGCTCGGCTGACTGAATTTTTCCTCAGAACCAAGTCTCCAGGCTGGAATTGAGCGGTGTCAGCTCAGCGTCCGAGGTGGACGATCTTCCTTTCACTATTCGATCGAAAATACTCCGGCGGTCCCGGAGTTGGGTTGAAGTGCCACTTGGGCCGGGTTCACCTCGGCCGATGTCTCTCCTCCGGGGATCTGGCCCCGTACGAGATGCTTGGGCTTCTCGCTTCATGCGATTCACATCTTCACTTCGGATTCCCTGATCCACTCTTTCCCAGAGTTCGTGAAGTGTACGGGGGTAATCCCGATGAATTTCGGTGTTGAAAAGTCCGGCCACCAACCCGTTGGTAAAGGCCGCGAGAGTTACCTGCTCATTCTGATCAGGTATTTGCACATTCTCCTCGTTGAACCTCTGAGCATACGAGCGAAGAGACTCGCCCTGACCCTGTTGAAGGTTCAAGAGATAAACTGAAGTCTTCGTGATTGGTCGAGACGACACGAAGCGGTGGATGAACCGGTCTATCAGCTCATCCAGGGAGGAAATGCTCCCCGGTTCCAAACTCCAGAACCACTTCCGGGCAGTCCCATGTAGGAAAATGGGGAAAGCCCGACAAATCACGGCGTCGGGGACACAGTAGAGTCGGAATGCGGAGATGAAGGCGCGGAGGTGATCCTCGGGGTCACCTCGGCCGTCATAGGTGGGCAAGTTTGGGAGCTTGAAATTCGGGGGCACCCTTTCCCCATTGATGTCATCCGTAAAGGGCGGAGCCCTCATGTAGTCCGAAGCCAGTCCCCCGGGGCGCCGAGGTAGGCCCTCAGCTCGCTTCCCTAGCAGTCCCCGGGAAAACGCCCGGGAGATGGAGGCTAGCTTAGAAGTCGCCTTGGAGGAGGCACGCCTGGAGGTACTCCGAGAGAGACGCCCCTCATCGGAGTCTTCACCTGAAGGTGCCTCAGGGGACTTCGTCGGCCTCCTCTTGGAAGACTCGGCCTTTTCTTTCCCCTGTCTTTTGAGGTACCTTCCTAGCTCCTCAAAAATGGTTGGGTTGTGTGATACGAACTCGGCCATCTTGGCGATGGCCTCCTCGTTGTTAGGCTGGGTCCTTGGGGACCCTTGCTCTTCAGAGATGCGATCTTGCTGGGCTCCCGAGGTCTGCCCAGCCCCAGTTGAGGGAACTCGACCACTTCTGGAGCGCGTGGATCTCATTTTAGTAATAGTAGTCTCGTTCCCACAGACGGCGCCAATTGAGGAGGTGATTTTTGGTTGGTAACTAGACCGACCTGGATCAGTTCTTTTTGAGATGAAGTGAGGTGAACTCCTGTGTCCGAAGTGAACCTCCTTGTCCGAAGTGAGTGGCGGGGCTTCTCCCCTGGTATCACTCCGACGATCAAGTTAGTATGAGAACGAGAATAATGAGAATGAATTAATGAACAGTGTATGCTTACTTGTTGGGAGCGTGTCTGGGGTATTTATAGAAGAGAGGTGATCAATACGGAAGGCTCATGCTAGCGGGACCCACTCTCTGGCATTACGGCTCTGTCTCCTGCCAGGAGGTCTGACTCTGACACTGTAGCCGCCTGGGAGTGATGACGGAGGATATGGTGCAGGTGCCATTAAGTGCCTCCAGTGCTTTTCAGATAAAGTGCTGGTCCTGGATGATGTCAGGTGGGTTGACATCATCAGCGTGCAGCCGAGGTGGATGTGCCGAGGTCACCTACACGGTGGACTAGGGATGAAGCCGAGCTCTGGGGTTGTGCTCAAGACAGGGATGAGCTCCGGTGAGGGACGAGACTTGTGTTCACCTCGGACACCCGCGTGTCCGAGGTGAGCATCCTCAG